GTGTTTGTCCAGCCGCTGCTTAAAGACTGCCAGTGTGGGGGAGCTCACGACCTCCCTAGGCAGCTGATTCCACTGTTGCACAACTCCTACTCTAAATTTTTTCCCCCTAATATCCAGCTGGTACCTTCTCACCCATAATTTAAACCCATTATTACAGCTCCCTGCCCTCCTCTAATGGACAGCCCTTCAAATACTTAAAGAGAGCAATCCTGTCCCTCCTATGCTATTCTTCCTGGAGGGAAGGGTAGAATCATGCTGTTCTTCCTGGAGGGAAGAAAATAGCAGCTGGCTACAGATTTTGAGGGGCAGTGTTCCAACAAGTAATTTGTATGACTGAAATAATAGCATGGAAAGTGTTGTATTTGTTTGTTGCAACCTGATCTTATGCATGTTTGCTCATTAAGTTAAGTTCCACTTACTGTCAAGTGCATACAGTTGTAGCATGTGCTACACTTGGATTGCACCCTATGTCAGGTGGCTTATGAGGAGTTGTCCCCCTTTACTATCACAATTATCCTGGGAACAAGTTGAGGTTGAGAGTCATTTGACCAAAATCGGCTCCTGAGTTTCCTGATTTAGCTGGTATTTGGACCCTGATCTAAGTACAACACAGAATCTGCTTGTTGACTGTATACGATAAGATAGTCTAGGTGTTCCTAGATTCAACTTTATAGAGCCATGTAGGTAATCTATTGCCATTTAACAATCAGCAGTCCAAGCTTTGGTGAACATTATTTCCTGGCTAAATGAACGGGATATTATACAGCTAGAGAAGCTGTGCTCTTTTTCCAGTCATAGGAAAGGTCTTTCCAAACATTAGTCAATGTGCATTCAGTACAAAAGCTGTTCCTTCTATTAAAGTGACTAGCTGAGACCTTTTGCCCATAAACAAATAGCCCATAACACTGGGGAGGGGGGTTGTCATTACTGGATCTCATTATATGTAATTTAATTCCAAACATTCTTGGGATTAAATTTGGTTCAAGGGTGTAGTACTTAAAATAGAATTCTCCCCCATGTCATTTTGAGAAGCAAATCTCCCCTCAAACCATTTGTTAGGCCCAAAAGAACAAAGATGGTGACACCCTCACACAAACATCTGTAATGGAAATTAGATAGGGGGTACCTTTTTTTTAAAAAAAGAATCTACATTAGGATAATTTCTTAACCCCTACTAGTGGCTTACCTATTAAATTAACCAGTACAAAACCATCCTTCACACACACTTGGCTTGGTCAAGATGGGTAGCTGACCATGTTTGTCTGTAACAGTAGAAAAGATCAAAAGTCCAGTAGCACCTTAAAGACTAACATAGTATTTGGCAGGGTATGAGCTTTTGTGAGTCACTGCTCATCTCTTCAGATACAGCTAGAATGGGTGTCCATCTGTCCTATATATTGGAAAGTAATGTGATTTCAGATCCCAAATAACACTAGCAGGTGAATGACAATAGCAGGCGTGATTGGATTTAGGTGAGATATGCAGAGGGGTAATAGGTGTGGAGAAATCAGCATTGATAATGAGACAGGAAACCTCGGTCTGAATTCAATCCAGGCTGATGCATTTTCTTCAGCTTCATTATCAGTTGCAATTCAGCAGTCTCTCTTTCTAATACTCTTTCTGAGTAGCAGTTCTCTTACAAAGGAATTTCAAAGTGAAAAGTACGCAGACGGAGAGTGATTTCAGCTAAGCGTACTTTATTAGATCAGGAACAAGACAACTTTAGCCGGCTCACAGGCTGGCTTATATTGCCCGTGAAACCGCCACCCATAACACCCCCCCACTTCCCAATAGGTTATTTACAGTGGCCGAGAGTTCCATAGGCTCTCGGCCGGGAACCTAGCCCCCTGATTGGTGCGGGCTAGGATCCGCATAGTCCATTGTCTTGTTGAGCGCTGGCCACGCGGTCTGAACTGGGTATATTACACAAAGAGATTATTTCTAGCTAAAAGGAGAAGTAGGAGGTGATGTGAATGACCTCTGCTTAAGACCTTGGACAACCACTGCCAGTCTGAGTAAACAATAGTGACTTCGATGGACTTATGGTCTGATTCAGTATAAGGTAGCAGATGCCATGATTTTGACAGATCAATGTAGTCTTTAAGGGCAAAATGCTTTATCTCAGCTGACTTGAGTAACCATGTAGACTCTGCTTCACTCAAATATGAATGGCTAGGATAACAAGGGAAGAACCGGAAAGTTCCCTGTGGTTCTGCAGAAGTTTAATTGCCCCTAAAATTATTTAGCAGTTGCTGTTCCAGAGCTGTGGTGAGGGAACTGCCCTCCCTTGCCTCCAGAGAATTCTCTGCATCTTCTCCAAACTATAGTTCCTGAAGTTCTTTGAGGAGAAGTCCTGATGACTTGTTGTTGTTGTTGTTGTTCAGTCGCACAGTCGAGTCTGATCACGCCAGGCCTTCCAGTCTTCCACCGTCCTCTGAGGTTTGCTCAACTTCATGTTCGTTGCATCTATGACACTGTCTAACCATCTCATCCTTTGCCATCCCCGTCTTCTTTGACCTTCAATCTTTCCCAGCATCAGGGTCTTCTCCAGTGAGTGCTCCCTTCTCATTTGGTGGCCAAAGTATTTGAGCTTCAGTTTCATTATCTGGCCTTCCAGGGAACAGTCAGGGTTGATTTCTTTTAGGATTGACTGATTTGATCTTCTTGCAGTCCAAGGGACTCTCAAGAGTCTTCTCCAGCACTGTAGTTCAAAAGCATCTATTCTTCGGCGCTCAGCCTTCCTTATAGTCCAACTCTCGCAGCCATACATGACTACTGGGAATACCATTGCTTTGACCATGCAGACTTTTGTTGGCAGGGTGATGTCTCTACTTTTTAAAACTAGTATAAAACAGATATGTTTGGTGTTGATGTGTTCCCAGAGGTCACATCATTCTTTCCAATATAGAATACAAAGTACTTATTGAAGAAGCTACACTGTTCTGATAGATGTTTATAAGTCTCCTGGGTTGATAGGTGAATGCTACTTCAAATCCAACTTGGGGGTAAAATAGCAATTTTCAAATCCTTTTTCTGTGCAGATGTAGAAACAGTTTCTCGCATAATCAGAAGAATTCTGCTGTATCACGCTGACAAAGGAATTTCTGGTGTTTAGTCTGTCACAGCTGGGGGGCTCAGCAGGATGAAAGCCTGGTTTATCTTGGTCTACCCAAGATTAAGCAATACTTTATACTCTTATTCCGAGAAGAAGCACGAGGCACATCTCCCATTATTCCTTACCGAGTACATAAATAAATCCCTAAGGTAAAACTGGGCTTTAGTTCGCATATGGATTTCAGTAACCATTGGGATAACAACAGTTACCAGTAATCTAGGTTGGCTCTTCTTTATTTAAAAAATGTCAGATAAATTTGTGTCTCAGAATTTATTTTGAACTGTTGCAGATTTTAACTTTAAACCATTGTTTAGGATGTTTTGACACAGTAGGCCTGAGAGTTTGCTTTCAGATTTTTGTGTATCTCTGCACACATTCAGCTTTCCACTGTTCTAGCTTGAGAAGGATAACACATGAATCAATGGCTTTATGCCTCAAATGAATCCTGGAGCAACTGGAAAAGAATTTACAACAGTTGTTCTTTGGAATGTTCAGAGATGTCGAACATCACTCCTTCAGAGAAAACAAATTAGATGGTTTACTAAAGTCAAGTGAGGCTCATGTAATTACATCTAAATAAGACAGCCCCCCCCAGCTCTAAAATCTGGATTGCAGTGATACTATTTTGTCTTTTCTGAAAAGGCTTGGTAAGAATTTTAGAAATTGCTTTTCATTTTTAAATACAGATTAGGTAGGTAGAAGGGATGACATGTATGCTTTTTGTTTAAGTTCATTTACATAGTTTAATGTTTTCTGTATAATTGTGATTGTTTATTTAATCTGTTCAAGGATAACTAGAGTGATTTTAAATAAATATTAAAATATGACATTCAGTGATCATTGGATGGAAATGCAAGGGTTTCACCTAAGCCTGGAAAACAAACTTCTGACTTCTCTTTAGTCAGAAGACTGGCACATGTACAGAAAGATCAGCGACTATTCTTCTAACAGCCTTGTGGTTGTATTGCTTTAAAACAGAGAGACTTTGGTTTCCATGTGCCTCTTTTATGTGAGAACAACCCTGTAACAGAACCATTGATATTTTGTAACCCTATGGGTTTCTTTACCCCAGCTGGCTTGTCTTTATATCCTAGCAATTAAGAAACTGTAAGGTACTGAAGCATGTAAAATCTTAATTGTTTTGAATGAGACAGGAACTAGTTTTTACATCTGTTTATACCCTGAAAATTTGCTGAGAAATAAGCACACAGTGGCTGTGACTTAAACTTAGTGGACATTTTAGACTTCAGGGGAAATAAGAGTAATATATTTCATACTGAAAGTAGGTACCAAGTTTCAGTGTGGCTTTTTAATTACATTTATACCGTATAATTAAAGGAGGGTTCAGCTGACCACTACCCTGCAATGAAATTACTTTCTAATGTCACCTCACAGTGAAGGTTCGTGTGGAATCCAGCATTACGTACTTCACTTTCTCTTTTAGTATGCAAGGCATTAAGGTCATTTGGGCCAGGGCAACCTTGTCCAGGAATACAAGTAATGCTGTTGTTTTTTTTCCATCTCCATAGTATTGGAGTCAGCTTTTGAAACCCTGTATCTGCCTACATTCCAAGTTTCCTCAAGTCCTGCCAAGTTTGTCCTTCACACTATTAACAATATTAAAGGTGTCTGAATCTGAATATTCATTCTTTCCTCTGCTAAAATCCCTGACCATGTCCAGGGTGCCAGTCTAGCAGTAAAACTGTAAATGAAGCCATTGGCGGGGGGGTGGGGAGATATTTAGACTTCAGTCTGGCCATGCGCCTTCTTGATCATTGAAATGTCTCATTTTGGACCATGGTATGGTTTTCTTTTTTGTACAATGTTTGGTTTTCCTAAAGCTTATTGCACTTTTGTTCTAACTACTGTTCTTTCATCTTGGCAGGTCTCTTCCTTATCCTAGGCTTGATCTTGTACCCTGCTGGCTGGGGTTGCCAGAAGGCAATAAGCTATTGTGGACCTTATGCTTCTGCTTATAAACTTGGAGAGTGTTCCTTGGGTTGGGCTTTCTACACTGCTATAGGTGGCACAGTCCTGACCTTCATCTGTGCCGTTTTCTCTGCCCAAGCTGAAATTGCCACCTCCAGCGACAAAGTACAAGAAGAAATCGAAGAGGGGAAAAGCCTTATTTGTCTTCTTTAATGATCCAAGAAATCCTTCAGTGTCTCGGGTGCATTGGGTTCAAGTGGCTTAGCAAATGGACTCCTCTGAGTGATGGAGACATGAGCTTCCTGAAGACCAGGCACTCTTCTGCCTGTCACTTGATGGTCACTGAGGACTATGGGCAGAATAAGAAGAAAATGATGCTATGGAAATTCTGGCACCTAGCTGCATTGGCAGGATGCTGCAAAACTCATGTTGGCTTCACATGTATATGAACAAGTGCCTGACAGTTGCAGAAATTATCCAGTCTTTTTGACATTCAGCACCATGAAGGAATCCTCAGAAGTATTTCGTTGAAAATGCCAGCATTTTCAAGTATGCACAGAACAAGATGCCCTAAACCAGGCTTTGATTTCAAGGGCTGTCATCTTTAGTCACTTGGTCAGTGGTAACATTCTCCAAAGCACCTTTTTTTAAAGCACAGCAGGTAATGTTGTATAGGACACGTGGGAAAGGTTGTGCTGAGGAAGCAAGCATTATCCAAACTCAAGCTATTTGGGAGGTGGGGGGAGACTATCTAGATTTTCGTTTCAGCAGGGACAGTAAGCAATATATTGCCCAGTAAATATACCGGAGGCACAGAGTTACTACAAAGAAGTACAGGGTAGTGTAGTAGCCAGAATCAAAGCTAAATTTTGTTGGTCCCATAGCACAGGCACACTGTGTAGTTGACCTACCTGTATAGAGTCATAGGCAAAGCAAGTATTCTTACTAGTTTGAAGTACTGAGCCCCTGAAGTTGTGCTTAGGCTTTATCCAGTAGCAAGCTTTGTACAGGAACTGTCGTTGATGGACATAGCGTGAGACTTGCAACATCTGCTTCTTGCCGTCATTTCAACTACAGACTGCCATCGTTGTCATTCCAGCACAGATATTAAAGAAGCTACACTGCCCCATAAGAGAAACCACGTTAAGCTGTAATATTTTTGAAAAGCTCTTTTTACATTTGCATTACATTGATAGGAAATACTGATGAATGCTGTCAACAGCAATGGTTCCACCTCATTCTTTAGGATTTTATGAAAACACATTCAGATAAAAGAGCTGTGTGCTGCAGTGGTGGATATAGAAACAAGAAGGGCTACCTAATGGCTGACTTGCAAATTTAGGTATTACATTTGCCTTACTAACACTGATAAGCAGTAGAACACACAAAGGACGTAAAAGCAAGGACGACAGAGCAAAACACGATGTCAACCACTAATGACGACCACTTATTTTTACCATACCTATTTTTTTAATCGAGATAGCCAATGAAAAGGAATGTCTAACCCTCTGAGGATGGCTGCATGATCTTTTAACCACTGTTATACAGTAAAAGTATTCCCAGAAGGCATTTGTGAAGTAATAAGTGACAAGCTATGCACATACGTATTTTGTGGGCTGTTACCATCTGTGTCAATCTGTTGATTGACAAGCTGCCTTTGCAAAGCTGATGCTGGTGCCATTTGTTTAAAACCTTGTATATACCATCAACATGGGGATCTCAGGGCCATGAAAGGGGGCTGTACAAGACATGCAAAGCATAGTAAATGTAAGGATGTACTAACTAGAGAAGACTATAAGTATGCTAATGAGAGGTTTGCAGCTCAATAAACAAGACTTCACACTATGATGCTGGGGTCCGGCAAGCAAAGCAACTAATTTTTCCTAGTTTGCAAACCCAACTAATCTTGTTCTGTTATTTGTAGAGGTGCAGAACACAACTTGTGACCTGAGCCAAATACAGTGCACTATTGTGACCTGCCAAGCAACGGCAAACCTTTCCTGTGTACCACCCCAAATATATTTTTTTTTAAGTTCCTCCTGGAAAGCAGCAAAACCAGCCCAATTTAAGGGGCCAGTGGATCGCTATCCATGCTAGTGAGCTCTCTTTGGCTCAGTAAGTCACGTTGTGAAGAACTGGGCCAAAGGTAGTATGCTGAGATAACTGCAGTGAAAAGCCTCTCTTAATTCACGTGAAGAATTGCTGTGGCCAAATCCAGGTGTGCATTAATAGTTTTCTAGAGTTTCCTTTTCCAGCGATGTACACTAGAATGGCCATTTCACATAATACTAAAAAGCACATTGGAGATTATGCATAACAGACCCAGTTTGGTGTAGTGGTTAAGAGCGGTAGACTCTAATCTGGAGAATGGGGTTTGATTCCCCATCCCTCCACGTGTAGTCAGCTGGGTGACCTTGGGTCAATTACAGTTCTTTCAGAGCTCTCTCAGCCCCACCTACCTCACAGGGTGTTTGTTGTGGGGAGAGGAACGGAAAGAAGATTGTAAGCCCCTCTGAGACTCCGAGTGAAGGGTAGGGTATAAATCCAATCTCTTTCTCTTCTTCTTAAAGGAACCCCCTAGATTTTCAGCCTTCTCTCCAGCAAAGCTATTGGGTATTTCAAAGGCTTGGATCCCACCTAGATTTTCACAGGTGAGGGGACAATTTTTGTTCATCTGTTCCTCATGCAGGAGACATACAATCCCATCCAAGCTATTCCTTGGTGTCCCCTGTCCCTCAGAAGCAGCATTTTGTGGTTTGTTTTGGGTTGCCTCAGGAGAGAGGATTTTGTGAAAATTACCCTCCTTCCCTCTGCCTGGGGAAACCTAGGACAGATCCAAACCCATCAGCTCCTAGCCTGAGTGGTAAAGCTTAAGGACTTTACTAAATGAGAACCTGAATGAACAAATTGGCCCTGACAGAGCAAGCTGAAGTGATAACTATTATGGGACAGACTAGTACAGGCTGCTCTTGAGAATGGCTTGATTGAAAGAACAAGTTGATCCTGCCAAATATTGTTTTTACCAGGCCTCCCAAGTTTCTCACTTCTCTTTTCCTTAGGGTTCCAAAATGATTATATTAACTTTACATAACACACTGAAATCCAGTATGATAGCAAATATTTTCAGTGTTAGCATGTTTTATGGTAAAATGTTCCAACCACAATTGAAATGAAACTTGGTTCAGTTAGAAATTCCGCATTCTAATTTGCATTATCTTCAGAATGCTTTCACCTTTAATCACAAGACTAGCATTTGTAATCTAAGCAAAGTTTGCAGTAAACTAGTTTTCACCATAAAGCAGGTTGCAATTTGAAAAGTTTGAAAATCATGTACATTCACCTGATGTAACAAATGAGATTTGTTGCATTGTACACACAGGGAGACTTAACTAACTTGGTGCTGGTCCTGGCTTCATCTGTTGTGGTGGACACCAAATCTGCACTTCTGAAGCTTGTCAGAAAGTCCTGTCTTGGGAACGTACAGATGCAGTCTTATACATACAGCAGTGTTTGAATACATTATCCATATCTTCCTAACAAAATTCCCATTAACATAGTGAGGAATGGAATTTCAATCATTTGCTAATATTGGGTACCCACATCATTTGCAAACAAATGCTTCATTAGTACACAGACACAATTAACCATATTTAGGTCCCATGAGCTGAATTGTGGTATATTTCCAAGAAAGGATTGTCTCATGACTTGTTTGTTTTTCCATTTTACACAAATGGATTGCAATACTACCCCACTTAGAAACAAGTTCCACTGTCATCCTCAACGTTTACAAATGCATGTACTCAGAGGACTAAACTCTTGGTAAATATCAAACATCCAGTGATTTAAGGAGTCTTCTGAATTTCACTTGTGGAAGTTCAAAAATGCTTTATGAAAATAAAATTTCAGCTTCACAAAAAGCCTAATGTGACTGCTTCTTAATGTGTACTGCATTAACTCAAGGAACAGTTGGTGTTTTTAAACCTGTGTTCTAGTTTTTTGTGTTTTTTTTAGTATTTCACAGATTTTGAGCTAATATTTCTTAAAATATCTGTGGTTGAATCACTTTTGTAAATGTTTATTGTGTAATGTGCCATTGATCTTTCCAGAGGGTAGTAACTTCAAAGGGTATACTGTGTGTGATGTGCAATAACAAGATTAGAAATGAAATGGTTTGAAAGGGACAATGATAGTGGCTATTCCATGGACAAATAAAGCTACTATAATACTATTTAATGTTTATTATGTGCCAACCGTGTGCTTCCCTCTTTGGAAAGAAAATATGGAGTAACAATACATGTGATGATGAACCTCTAGAAACTTTTGAACTATCTGGGTATTCCAGGCCTACTTATTTATAGCCTGAACTCTAAATGTGAAGGGTATTTTGATATTTAGCAACCAATAAGCTCACTAGAAAAAGGAAACTGAGGGGAAGAAATGTTTGATGTGTCTGTTAACACACAGTAAATCATTTCTGTTGAGCTGTACTGCTAATTTAATGTGTCTACAATATAGCAATTTCTTTGCCTAATAAACAGTTATTAACCCCTGGAATTTTCTGATAGATCATTTCAAATTGTGCATTGATATCAATGGTAATCTCAACACTCAACCTTTTTGCAAGACATGCTAGCAAAAGTAATTTTGTTACAGGAACTACAAAAAATGAGACCATTGTTGCTTTACTGTTCCAGGACAAATAACTTATCAACAACTGTCTGTTGACGCTCTTTAAAGTGAAATGTGAACAAAATATACATATGCAGGTATAAGACTTGTAGTTTTCTGTTCTTACTTAGAAATACCAACAGAAGCTGTGTTAAGTAGCCTCAGGGCTGAATTTGATACAAATAAAAATAACAGACAATGCGAAAAGACAGTGATTTAAAAGATTACCTTATTTCTCAGATGCCATTTTACTCCATTTTAATACCTTTGATCCAGAGAAAATAATCTCTAACCAGTACTTACTATGTCCTCTCATGATATTTATAAGTGGATAAAAGTCAGTTGCATTGTATACATGATTCAGACCTTAAATGAATAAACTGCCCTAGGCATTCAGAATCCATGAAAGACAACTCTTTTGTCGTTCCAAGCTCCAGGTAGATATTTGTTGGTCTTAGAATTAAACTGACTTTCTAGCACAGTACGAGGAATAAGTAGCAATGGTGTAATCCTATCTAATGTGGCTGAATAATGAAGATACATTCCACACTGCTTAAGATGACATTTTAGGCTTAAATGGAACTCATTGATGGTTACAGAAGATACTTTTACCAACACATTTAAATCATGTTTTCAAGTCACAGAGAAAGAAATGGTTTATTGTGGCAGCAGCACTTTTCAACCCCACATACTTTGAATAGCATTGCATCAAAAAATGCAGTGCAGAATCTGCAGTTACTAATTTGCAGGATTTGCACTTGAGGTGTATATTGAATTTCAGTTTAGGGTATGATCCTCCCCTCCTCCCCATGTCATCAAGCAAGCTCCAGCCAATCCTAGGCATACCTGCCTAGGATATTATATGGCTCAGTGGATGAAACAATTACAAGCAGTGGGTAATATGAACCTACACTAGCCCTCTCTCAGAGCTGCTGTGACCAGTCACAAGCAGTACTGGTAGAAGACAGCTGACTCGTGGATCTCAGGTAATCAAGGCTCAGTCTTCTAGACGAGGAGTGGTGTGAATTCAATGGCATAGTGCAAAAAGGCAGCAAAGTAGGTCATGCTCTTCAAACAATATTTAACCAACTGATCTGATTAAATACAATCTGATAAGACTTGTAAGGTCTCCCTGTTCAATCAGTGAATAGATATTTAATTTTTTCAGACATTATTTTTAATAACCTCTTTCTAAGAACTAAGAAAAACCCATTTCATTTGAGACATTCTTCTGGGTAAGAAGTAAGGAGGAATACCTATTATAAGATGCTATGTGATGTGATATGTGCATGCATGAACTTAAAAATTGCGTTTGGACAAACAACCATTTGCAGAAACTCAAATATTGAGTTGTCATATGCAAATGTATATAGATTAATTATTTCAATTCATAGCTCTCATGATTAACATATCTAATCTTGTTGAGATACCCTTTAAAGCTGATAACATACTATATATTTTAATGCTGTTGAATTATCATGCTTGTTCAATGCGTAGTTTGTTGTTATGGGAAGACCTCCAGTTTATGTGCACTCCTTCCATCCTCCTCTCATACACACAGTTCAGAGATGGAAGAATTCCTGGTTCCCAATACACCAAATTTTCTCATAAAATCTAAAGTGAACAAAAAGGACAACCTGTGAATTGTTGAGAGCCAGTTTGGTATAGTGGTTAAGTGCGCAGACTCTAATCTGGGAGAACCGGGTTTGATTCCCCACTCCTCCACTTGCACCTGGCTGGATGACCTTGGGCAAGCCATAGTTCTGGCACAGCTGTTCTTGAAAAAGAGCAGTTTCTGTCAGAGCTCTCTCAGCCCCACCTACCTCACAGGGTATCTGTTGTGGGGAGGGGAAGGGAAAGGAATTTGTAAGCCACTCTGAGACTCCCGTAGGTAGTGAAGTGCGGGGTATAAATCCAATCTCTTCTCTTCTTCTTCTTCTCTTGGCCACAAAACAGGAGTCCAAACTGTGAGTTAGCCTCAAGGACTTCCAATCCTCCATCCCATAACAAACCATGATTTGTTTTTATGTTTGGGTGCATCCCTTATGCCCAAAGAATAAGTGACAGCTGCCAGTAAAAGTTACGTGAATTCTGGCATGTTCACAATTTTCTCATGCACAATTTGTGACCCAGATACAGTTCATCAGCTAAATACTGCGGCTTGCCTAGCAGAAATACAAAACAGAAAATTTCATGTCCAAACTGATCCGAAGGTTTACATTAGAAATTTTTTGAGAATGCTGTATTTAAGAGGACACTGTAGTGCCATACTATCGGTATACAAAGCCTTTAAAAAAGTAATAACCTGGAGAATTTACAGGTATATGCAAGGATTTATGCATGCCTTAATATCTGAATTTCTTTGCAACAGTACCCATGCCACTCAAAGCCATCTCAAAAATGCTCTTGAAAACTCTCCTGAAATGTAAGAGCAACCTTACTATTTGGCACAGGATGCCACTTTCTGAGGAAGAAAAACAGGGAAAAAGTTTCACAGGACAGAAAAAGAGGGGCATTAGCTGCTTTGGTTCGCACCCAATAAAAGAAAAAAATAACCACTACATTTATAAGAACTAATAGTAAATACATTGGCCCTCCACAGAAGTAACAAACAAATATCAGGAGAAATTGTTTTCAGAAGTTTCATTTTACTTCCAACAAATTCCCAGACAAATTTAATACTTGTAGATTTCATTGGTACTAACAAATATCTTCTTTCCAAACGCTCCAATTTACATCACAAAACCAAACAATGTGTCTATCACTGGGTTCTTCCTGGTAACTGACATACTTTGTCCACTGCAGCAGAATTTATATACAGGTTACAAAAAGTCAGTGTTCCAATTCAGCTCTAGTTCCATTCACTTCTGCGTTATTACTAATGCCAGAACAGAGACATTGGCAAACACTAGGATGACAGTCACATATGAATGCATATCAGACTGAAATGTTATGCAGCATGTACAGATGACAGTCACATTTGGATGAACTTCTGAATGCAGATGCTACCTAGCCATGCTGCATTACTTTCAGTTCAATGTGCATCCCTACTCACATTCTGGCGCTGTGTTGACTATGCTGGACTAGAGCTGGATCAGATAAAATACGTGGTACATAACCCTCTTGCATTTTATCTTGCCTTTTACAAGGAAAAAAGACCCTTTTCCTGTTTTTAAAACTATACAGAGCAAACTGTCCAGAAACATTTTATTCTATGTGACTGAGTTAGTACAATAAATATGCAGAACCTTTGAACTCAGACATGCAGCATCAGAGGATCTGTGTGCATTTGTACAGAACTGTGACATTCACCAGGATGGCAAAGCATTGTAGTAATCTACAAAATATACAGACATCCCTCAGTTAAATAACTCCAATGCCTAAATAAGAGATCACAAGACTACTGAAATTCCAGTGTTGAAACTTTGTATTTTGAACAAAACTTGCCACAATTGGATACTACAACATGGCTTAAATGGGCATACACTTGTTAACTGACATACTGCTTTTATTTTTTGTTAAACGTTTTAACATACATCAGCCTTCTGACACATTCCAACCCAGAAAGAAAATCAAGATTAACTGAGTTTTTCTTTACGTAATCCAGATTATTTTCTAGGTGTTTGAAAGAATGTAACTAGACATAGAAGTATATACACATTATACTTCATTTCCTGGGACCAAAAACGGGTACAGGACTATTCCAAATTCAGCCTGCATCTACTTCAAGTTCTACATTACCCCCTGAGAAAAACAAAGTATTTCAGTATCATCTTTTAAAAAATACAATTTTTGCCATCAGATGTGATTCTGGCCATCTGATGTGAACTGAGATTAGCAACCAACCGCTAATCTCTTGTCACTGATACAGAATAAAGGAGTAAAAAGTACACAATTTTTCCTCCCTGGGGGTTTGCACTGGCAAAGGTACTGGATCTAGAACATATCCATGATTAGTTTTCATACTCCCATTTGATGGTCCTTGCCTCCATATATCATTGCCCCTAATGTACAAAATTATGCAACAAATATAAATTTATGAAAGTGAAGTCATTATATTCATACCTGTAAAACTTAATTTGGTTTATAAAATGGGAATTCTTCTAAATACAGAACATAGTGGATAAAGGTCATATTCCTTTTCTATGCTGAGGAGGAGATGTGGCTGTTATCCTCCGTACTTCAACTTTTGCAGACTTCCAGTGCAAACAATCACTGGCATCGCCTGTATGCTCCTTACATTAGGGACTAAGGATATGTTAGGCTTTCTGCTTGTCTACTGACCATCCAGACTTCCAGTGCAAACAATCACTGGCATTGCCTGTATGCTCCTTACATTAGGGAGTAAGGATATGTTAGGCTTTCTTCTTGTCTACTGGCCATGTTGTCAGTGGGCACTTTTTCTAAGTTGACAGAGGTACTTTTGGATGTAGTGCTGGAGGCACTTAGACTGATAGTTCTGGAGGACTTCAACATTCAGGCTGAAGCCACCTTGCCAGGGCTGGTCCAGGATTTCATAGCTTCTTTGACTGCTTTGGGCTTCTCTCAAATTTTGACAGGCCCAACACATGAAAGAGATTATACTTCAGACTTAATCATTTGCAATCATTTGCAATAAACCTTAAAGAGAAAGCTTGGTTTCCAGCTCTGACAGTCTGCTGGAAAGGGAGTCCAGTTAAAGTTGTCCACCCACAGAGGCTCATGGATTCCAGAACACTTTGGGGGATTTCAGGATTCTAAATACATGTTCTGTTGAGGGTGCAGTGGAAGCAAAGAATGTGAAGCTATTGACAAGACTGCTGCTCATTGACCTCTCCCATCCTTCGGATGGAACCTGGCCTCCTGCTTTACTATGGAGCTGGGAAAGCTGAAAAGGGTTGGGAGATGTCTAGGATGATGCTAGCAGAGAACTTGTACTGAATCTGACAGATCATGCTATAAACCCATTGAAAGCCCTATGAAGCAGTAGTGACAGTGGTAAAGAACAGTTACTTCTCTGCTAGTTGACTATCATCTCAACTGCTCAAAGTAGTAGAGGTCTTGAATCACTGCCTGGCTGCTATGGTTAGTTGGCGAAGAGTGAACAAACAAATGAAACCCTGAAAAAAACAGTGGTATTGCTGGTAAGGAAGGCAGAGATTTTGAAGGACAGTGTGGTCCCCACCTTCAATGGCATTCAGCTGACCCTTGATGACTCAAAGTTAAGAGCCTTGGGGATCCAACATTACTGCTGGAGAAGCTAGTTAATGCAACTGTAAAAACACCTCTTCCAACTCAGTCTAGTCTGGAAATGGCCCCCTACCTTGATACAGCTGATACAGCCACCTGGATCTATGTCACAGTAACACTGGCTACTATAAAGCATTCTACATTGCTCTCCTCTCAAAGTCAACTCAGACTGCAGTTGATGCAGCACTCTGCAGCTTGGCTATCATCAGGAGGTAGACAGAGCAGCATATTGCTCAATTCTGTAGTCACTCCAATGTCTACTCATCAGTTACCAAGCTAAATTTAAAGTACTGGCTATTACATACATAGCCCTTTATGGCTTTTGTCCCTCATATCTGTGGGACTGCCTCTTCCCCTATGCTCCGCTCTTCACTCATTTGAGCAGGGCCTTCTGCAAGAGCCACCCTGAAAATGGGCAAAATCAACAACTGCCCCCACACAGGCATTCTCTGACGTGTAATAGCCTGCCTGATGGAGACAGGAAGGCTCCCACTCTCCTAGCTTTCTATAAACTGCAAAAAAACTGAATTATTCAAGAGGGCTTTTTTACACAGGTAATGGGGCTGTACTGTAACAAAATGGTTCCAAAGGAAACTTGGGACTGTGATCTGTAGTACTACTGTGTACAGTTTGTACTATCGGTTGCTGTAAGTACTATCCTACTATGTATTTTTTGCATCGTTTAATGCAGCATGTTAATACTTATGCTTTATTTCAACTCTGTGTCATATTTCTGCTTGGTTCCAGATTACTACAATCAAAATCCTAATGAATTATTCATTGGATGTACCATCCTGTTAATTGTATTAACTTAATTCTGTGTAACCCACCTTGAGTCCTAGTGACAAAGGTGCACCATAAATTATGTAAATAACAAATAAATAAATAAACTAAATCAGTCTTTAGTCTTTAACATCTTTTACTAAGCTGGAATGCCTTCTGTTTTACAAATATGCTGAAAACAACTTGGTTTAAAATACAATTCCCACATAGTCCATTTTATAGTATTTGTGATTGTGATGAAGTTACTACATTTATCCTGATTGTTTAGGCCTATAAAGTAACAGTCATAATTTAAAATATGCACGCACAATCCATTTTAGGTATTAAACCTGAAAGAATTATTATTTTTCTGAGTAAATACTGGGTTAGAGTGTACTGACATTAGGATCTATTTTGCAAAACCTTAAGAGTTCTCAGTGACAGAACTTGAATTTAATCCAAGATATCTTGTAGATGGCCATTCAACAATTCATCTTTCTCAGAACACAAAGCAACATGAACTTAAACTGACAGCCTATTAAACTGCAGAACATGAAGTTCAACTAAAACTACTAGACAACAACTAGCTCTGTAAAACATATAGCCAGTTGATTGATACTGTGCTAAATCAACTTCTGAATAAATGCATTTTATAAAATGCCAATTGATTAAATCATACATGAAGGCCGAGGTATGTTAAAAAGAATTCAAGTACATAATTAAATGCCAGTTTGAAAAACCTTGATTAGAGAATATGGTTTAGGTTAAAAATTTAAATAAGATATTGTATATTCAGATGTTTGTACAACCAGTAAACAGAGTGATTGACAAGGCTAAAGATTTCGTACCATTGTTAAACACAAGTGCACACTTTAAAAAACAAAAACAGAATGCTTAAATACAACAAAAAGGTCACTGCATTTAACACAAGTCAAAAAGATCCAGCTATATGAAAGTGTTCAAAAGATAGGATAACATGTTTTTTTTTTCTTTAGGCAAATGTTTTCCAAAGACAGGAATATCAAAATTAAAAACAGATATAATCACTCAGCTCTGATTAAACTTCATTAACTTCTCTTCCTTGCAGGTTGCATTATGTATTCTTTCAATGACAGTATCTCTGTAGAAAAACCATTCCAAGCTAGAAGACCATACACCATGAAAACAGATCCCAACAAATACTATAACCATAGTTGTAGAGACAGATTCTGGACCAAAACACTAGCTCAACGTGGCCAAATAACTGTTTCATGCAAACTCAGAGTTTTATCAAAAGACCTATTATCCTAAAAAAAGAATTTACATTATCTATCATACTTATTTTAAGCTTACATCTGTCCTTCATCAGCTGCTGAAGATGTATAGCAGCAGCTAAATGTCACGTTCAAACCCGTCAGCTGCCCTGTTTCTCACGTAAGAAAATAGGGAAGCAAACTATTAGGAACAAAAAGGGTTGCTCCAAAGTGCTTGTCTCAAGTCAAAGTGAAAGGTCCCAGAGAGAACAACTGACCAGAAAACCCTAAAATCCATTTAAGGTGACCCCAGAAGCTGCCATATCAATTTCAGATGCACTGTTGAAATTTTCACAACACGCCTCCAAAAATATGGAGAAAAATATAATTCAAACAATTTTAAGTTAGAGAGTAGCCAGAAAGTACTTTTGGATAAATAAGTGTATAAAGGAATGGAACAAGGACCTTTTCCCTGTTTTAGCCCATGCACAGCTGAAGAGGAGACATACATGCTGTGTGCAGTTTGAACAAAAGTCTTTAGGGAGTATAAGTGACTGGAAAATAAAATACAGCCAGAAAATTCTTGTGATTTTCATCTCTTTCTTTCTCTATATTTGGTTACCCTTGAAAGCACTTTGAGCGGCGCTAGTTGCTGCTGTTGACGCAGCGTTGGCTGCAGCAGTTTGTACAGTTTTGTTGGACATCACACCCGTTGCAAATTCTTGCTGGGCCTTCTCAAAACTTGCTCCGGTTGTGCGGTACAGCCCATGTACCTAAGGAGAAACCCAGAATGAAAGGCTGAAGCATATTTTAAACTTGAGAGGAAAAAAAACTTTACTTAAACTTGTGCGTTACATGCCTGATCACAGGCAACTCAAGATGATCAGAACAATCTCAACAAAAAACAGTTACCTATAGTGAAGATTTTTTATTAAATAACAAATAATGACAATAACAATAACATAGCAGATGAACTTTTACAGATACCCTAACAAAATCCATATTCTTCCCATGATACTAACTCCTAAAAATATTTACTACAAATTCACTTCCATTTGTTTAATTAAAGGATTCCATATTGATTCGAGCTGCTGTATACTTATTCCCCTTTGTATAAAGTTTAATTTTATCATTTCTTTAATTTTATCAATCTATAAGCATATCTTTGGAAATATATCTTGCTTCCAAAATCTGTCAAAACCAATTCCAGCTGCTGCTGCAATCACATTTTAGAAGAACAACTTGAAGCTTTTTCGGAACCACTGGAACATGGTTAAGTAATAATGTTTCTAGCCCTAATGGAACACCAGTGCCAAAACCTACTGAATGTAATTTTCCAATATTCTTTGCAATATCTCCCAACCTATTCTAGAATCTCCAAACCAAGATCAGTATTCTATTTAAGTTGAAAATTTGGTCTAGCATTAAAATTATATTTAAGTAGCATAGACAAAACATGTTTCCCTCCTTGGATCATCAGTTGCTCAAATGTGGTACGTTTCCTTAGATTTAAATTTAAAAAATGTGGACAGAAAACTTCTCAGCTACAAATATTCAAAAACTGTTCATCTGGGTATTAGTTATTCTGGAGATCAAATCAAAGGCTATTACATTATTGTTAAATATTACTCCTAACCTTATACTAATAGCGAAAGGCGCCCCCTGCGTGCGGATATC